AACAATAAAGTACTGAAATTACCCGTAGCAGATTCTAGCAAATTAGTGGTTGACCATTAAATATCTTTCAGATCCATGAAAAAGAATTAAACACACTAAAATGCATTATTATAATATGACTGTTTATTACAGTGGAACAGCCGGTGGTGGGTCCGAGGGATTTTCAGATCAGAGAGGTGAACCATAACTCCCTCAAACTGAGCTGGACTCCTGCCACTGGAGACGTGACCGGATACAGGCTCCTGGTGACTCCACTCAGCTCCAGAGGACAGCCCCAGCACTCACTACAGAGACAGGTACAGACTCCAGGGTCCATTTGAACTTATGTTAGACAGCCTATATTAGAGTTAGGTAAGTTAATTAAGCTTTTGTTCACGCTTTATTAAAGATACCATGTGTAATAGGGATGGGACAAGACTGTAGCCAGGCTAGTGCCTCCGCTCAATTTAATTTTTCTCCAGCAACTAGGTCAAGATATCAGAATACACTAGACAGTTTGCAAAGTGTGAGTTCGGGCACCAGCCAATCAGCGAAGAGTCATACATTCTGTGTTGGCAACAATTCCTGACATTGAGGATCTAAAACCAGAACAAAGAGAATGTTTGGTGAATTTTATCAAGGGGAAAGACGTTATTGCCCTTCTTCCTACAGGATTTGGGAAAAACTTCATATACCAGTTAGCCTCGTTAGTGGCGCATTACATACGTCACCACCAAATACCAGCGACTGGTTAAATGAACAAAAGTACCCGCCTACTGTCGAGTGAATGAATCCTGATGCTGCGAGGTCAGACGGTTTCTACGAAGTGATGAATCTGATGAATCAGTCTAACAAGACTGTGCACACATAAGGAAAATTATTAATGGGGTTGACTTTGCAGAGTAACTCCTCTTGAGAAGCTGTAATACCAAAAAGCAGTGCTGCAATGACAGCAAAACTGCAAAATTGTGGACTGAATTGCTCAATTTATTTATCCATCACTGTATCAAAATCTCGTCTTGTCTCATTCAAGTAAGAATTGTTTCTCGTCCCATCCCTAATGTGTATGTTTGTTTGATTTTTTTCCACCAGTAGATGCCAGATCAGAATTACAAAAATCAGAATAAGTTTTAATGCCATTGTCAGTGAACAAAACTCACAAACTAGGAACTTGTTTTGGCATTATGGTGCAACATTAACAATTAATTAGCAAAGAATAATGATATTGAAGCACTTTGTGTTGCATTTTTGTATGAAAAGCACTCTATAAATAAAGTTTGATTTGATTTGGTAAAAACTATGATAGGCTCACCTGTGCTCTCTGGTTTTCTTCTGTCAGTCAAAGCCGGCACACTGTTAGACAGCAGCCTCTAGTGGTCTAATTACAAATGGTAGCTTTAAGGCTCATTATGGTTTAGTTTACAGTATATAAAGTGTACCAAATTTTCTCATACTACAATACTGTTTTGCCTGGTGTTATTCACTTATATAAAAGATTAATTCTAGTTGTTGTTGTTTAAAGGTGCACTATGTAACTTTTTGGTTTGGTTGTTTCAGTGGAAATGCCATTGCTCTGCCTGGAATATTCCACAGTATGACATTAAACAGCTCTACCTTACATTGATTTAATTACAGGTATGTTTATAGCTCAAACATACCTAGAAAAACAGGTATTCTGACTGTGAGCAGGGTCGCCTCTCCACAGATCTGACCTGTAACTTGGTCTGATTTGGATCTCCGTGTAGATAGAAAGGTTTAATATCATACTGAGAAAAGCATTTGATGTACCCTCCACCAGAAAAGTTACACAATGCACCTTTAAACATGTAACTTATTCATAATATTAACATTATAATTAGTCATTGTGTATTTTTAATTTTAGTTCTGATAATTGTGAAGCAAAATTTCACTATTGTCAAGAAGACAAGTCTCTCTACAGTTATGAAAACAATAGATAGTGGTGGTTTATGAGTGCGCAGAGGAGCTAAAACATATTTATGGACCCGTATTTCTCACTCCTACATTTCTCTTCAGCCTTGTGCATTATTATTCTGTATTCACCCTGCTCTCGTCTCTTCGGTGATGTATTATTCTGTATTGTTTTCCTGTTTATCAGATTGATTTAAAGGCAGATGTGAGCACAGTTTTGGTGACAGAGCTGACTCCTAAGACAGAATACTCCCTCACTGTTTACGCCATCTACCCCAGCCTCATCGGGGACGCGGTGACCATCCCAGTTCAGACAAGTAAGGCAATTTTTTACTTTCATTAACGTCTTATTAAAGGTACACTGTGTAACTTTTTAGCTGAGGTCCGTCACCTGCCTGAAATGTTCCACGGTATGACATTAAACAGCTCTACCTTACATTTATTCAATTACAGGTGGTTTTATAGCTCAAAAATACCTAGAAAAACTTATTCTGACTGTGAGCGGGGTCGCCTCTTCACAGATTTTTTATTAATTATTTTTTTGCTCATGTAACTTAACAGTTAAAAAACACACTAGATAAAAAAGTAGGTGCTGGAAAAGGCAAAAAAACAAACAAACAAACTAAGGGCTTATATTAAAGCCTTCACCTAATGAATATATTAAAATTTTTAACATTATCGCTGTGCATTAAAAATAAAAAATACATTTAAACACCTTGGATTAAATTCATTTGATTCAAACATGGATTAAAATACAATGAAACATCCACAATTAAATGATGATCAAACATTATCATAAAATATCAAACATTTCCTCACACTCTTCTTAAACAATGCGTCTGATCTGCCGTCACTAACCAGATCTGAAAACTGGCTCCACAATTTACAGCCTCTGTATCTTCGGCAAAACTGAGCTCTTGATGTGACACATTTTGGAACATGAAAATTACGATTTTATCGAGTATTGTCTGACCTGTAACTTGGTCTGATTTGGTCTCCATAAAGACAGAAAGTTTTAATACCATACTGTGAATCATTCCAGACAAAGTAGTAATATTTCCATGGAGAAAAGCATTTGACAGACTCTCCAGCAGAAAAAGTTACACAATGCACCTGTAAATACAGCTCTTTTAAAAATGTATTATTCTTTTTAAATTATGATTTTTCTTTTCAGCCTCTTTACCACAGGTGTCTAACTTCCGTGTGATTGAGGAGGGGCTGTTTTCTCTGCGTTTGGGCTGGTCAGTGCCTCTTGGAAAGATCAATGGATTTAAGATTTTCATCCCAAGAAGTAAGAAATGCCACAACAAACACTATTAGTTTTACAAAATACATCAAAAGGGCTGTGCAACCAAACCTTAGCCTGATTCATCAGCCTGTTTCACTTTGTGGAAACTGTCTCACCTCACAGCATTACAGTCTAGTGTATTCTGATTCCTGACCTAGTCGCTGAAGAGAAATGAAATTGAGCGGAGGCACTAGGTGGCGCCAGCCTGGCTAACCAAACCTCAATTTGTTATCAAATCTTTGTACCATTTGTTGACGTTTAAAACATTTTAGTCCTGGTTATATGATTTGGACACATATTCAAGGGTGTCCAAACTTTTTATTCACAGGGGGCCCCATACTGAAACAAAGCAGAGGCTAATGATACTTTGAAGTGACATTATGATGGGGAGTTCTACATGTATCATGTCTATAAAGACAAATGTTCAGTGGATACCATGGTGACACTATACACACACTGAACAAACCCTGCCAAACTTTTAAGAAAATCTGAGAACTTTACAAAAAAATACCGAATGGATTTAGACAACACATTTTCAGGAGCCTGTGATCAATTCATTATTTGAGATTTAAGTCTAACTTGAGTAATAGAGCTTCAGACAGAGCAATGCCTTCAGTTAGCACCACACCTCCAGGGAATGTTACTGGCAGCAGAGTGAATTATTCAAAATGTTCAATTTGATGTAGGTTTGATTAAGCCGCTTTAATATGTCCTGGAACATTGCTGTCTCTAGAGTGGGGTTATGTTAGTAGATTGTGTTTTATTTTTATTGAGTAATTGGGTCAGTATGTCCCCTGGCCATAGTTTGGTTATAACAAAAACAGCTTTTAAGTGGGTCAGATTTTAATTGAACGCAATGAACACTATGTTTCAATCATACAATCTTAAACCATACTGTGTTTCAGCCAACAGACCAGGCTTCACATACGAGCAGCTCCTCCCTGGGGACATCTCGTCTCATGTGATCGACAGTTTAGAGGAGGACAAAAAATACATTGTCAGTATTTACACTGTGTTTCCGGAGGGACCCAGTGAACCGGTGTCTGTGGTGGGAAAGACATGTGAGTTTTTCTATTGTATTTCTTTCTTTGCCTCTTGTTTCCTGGCAGCTCTAACTTCATCTGTCTACACCCTCTTGCAATACTCCTTATAGCCACAAGATGGTGCTGTTGTATTATGTTCAAAATGTTGAGCCGCATTTACACACAACACTACTGTCATTGAAAAATTGGTGGAATTTCTTTATTTATGAAGTTACTATCCCTTGAATGAAATGTTGTTTAATGTTATTTGAAATGCGTTATATTTAAAACCAGACTCACCTCAATAACTGGTAAATTTGTGTGTAGATTTGCTTTTGAAGCGCCAAGAGTTTGTGGCTTCATGATGTAAAAATAATTGTTTTTCTCCAAATATTTAACCCAGGCCTTTCTAAATCCAAGTTTAAGTTTTTAATATATTCCTATGCATGAGGTTCAAAATGATGAAAATTAGGACCCTCATAGCAGTTAACAATTTAAAACAAACAATATAATTTCTTCTGAATGGTCAGAAGTTCTCATAATGTTGCCTATATAATAGGAAGCTGATACCACGAATGTACTGTATATTTTTCAGATCGTATTTGTTTATTAGCATTTTTACATAGTTTTCATTTAGTTGATATAAGTAATGAAGTAAGTAAGTTATAAAGTTGATACATTTAATGACACTGTGATTTTTCTTGTTTTGTTGACAGTAAAGTTGGTGCCAGTTCAGCAGTTTTTGGTCCAAAATGCAACGACAGACACGCTCCAGGCAAAATGGACATCGGTCAGAGGAGCCAGTGGATACCGACTCACGTGGGAAGCTCCAGGTAACTAATGGAAATATGTTTTAAAGAGCGTTAAGTAAAACTGTCATCAAAACTATATCATCATCTTCCATTTTTTCTATCTGTTTTTTGCCTGGAATGTCCCACAGAGTAGCATTATACTTATCTATCTCCATGGAGACAGGCAAATGACGCCTCTAAACCAAGTATTTAGCAGTCAAAACACTTTTAATTGAATAAATACAAGAT